TGTAGCAAAGGTTACATAAGGAACGAGCAAAGGAACCAGAGTCGGAAGAACTGAAGCAGGAACTTGGAGCCTCCTGCAGCCTGGTCCCTGTTTTGCCGTGATGGGCAGAGCCCCTGCATACATCCCACAGGAGACACATACAGTGAATGAGATATCACCTTGGCCGTGTTAAGCCCTTGAGGTTCTGAGCTTGTTTGTTACTGCAGAGTAACCCAGCCCATCCTAACTAATACAGCTAGAATTCGAGAAATTGCACTCAAAGAAGTCTTCACCTAAGAAGCAAGCCTGAAGTGATGACTAAGACTGAAAAGGAAGGCTGAGGAGCAACCCTCATGAGGGAACCACATTAGAAGGTGCCAGAAAGGGGTGCTAAGTAAATGCCAGGGAAAGACAGCCCAGGTGCGGTGGTGAGCACATGTCAGGAAATTTGGGGGATGTGGGGCTGAGTCATGTAAGACAGGGTACCAGCAGGTCAGTCCCACAGGGGAGGGCCTGACCCAGGTGGAGCTGTCAGGTAATTACCAGGACGTTTGCTCGCAGAAGGCAAAGCTGCCTTTCCACGGTCAGGTGCTTCCTTGTTACTAGGTATCACTTTGGTTATCTAAGAACAATGTGAACATCACATAATGAGAAATCAGAGCCATCAGAATTTTTTTTAATATCATGGTATGACTTTCACAAAGATCACAGTGGACAGAGCAAGTTAGAAATACATATTAAGTTTTAAAAAAATGATTTTTTTCTTTAGTCAATAGCCTTGAAATATGGTCTGAGTATTATCAATATTATCATTGCAATTTCCTTTAGTTCTGAGGTGACTTTCAGCAATGTTAGGACGAAAGTGCTAACGGCAGTATAAACAAAGTAGAGAGAGTCCAGGAATCCCAAATCAGCCTTCTAATGAACGTGAAACCCTGAGCAGGGCGTTTGATCTCTGTGTGCCTCAGTTTCCGTTCCTGCAAAATGGGGATAACGAGACCTAACTCACTCGTTTCCTTCTTTGGATGATTGCACAAAGTGTCTTTTTTTCGTGCTGGTTCTTACCAAATATTAAACATTAATCAAGACTGCAGATTCCAAAAGTAATATTTTGGGTACTATCTTCCCCTCTCCCTTGATTTCGTCTCTCAGCTCTACCACTCACGTGCCCCAGGAGCTGGAGAGATCACCTCCCCTCTGCGAGCCTCTGTATTATCACCAGCAAAAATGTGAGCATTAAGGTCGCTTGAGGTCCTGATATTCTTCAGTATTCTAACTCCATCAGGATGGTCCCTTGTCATTCTCTCATGTGATTCCTCTGAGCCTTGGCATCTGTTATCTTGGCCTATTATCTCCCTTCTGTGCCTGGAAAAATGGGCTCTGGAGCCCAAAGAACACAGATTCCAGCTCCCAGTGTGAGGTTTCCTAGGGCTGGGACCTTGGCAGTGACAAACCCAGTGACTTCAGGCAGCTGACGTTTACTGAAGTTTAACCATGGGGGACTTACCTGGTGGTCCAGTGGTTAGGACTCCGTGCTTCTACTGCAGGGGGCGTGGGTTCGATCCGTGGTCAGGGAACTAAGGTCCCACATGCCGCATGGCGTGGCCAAAAATAAATAAATAAATAAGAATTTTTTTTTACAAAAAGGGGCACCCCGTGCCCCATTCTCTAAAATGCTTCTCTGCCTCAGGATCCTTCCCTCTTTTTTTTTTTTTTTTTTCCGCTTGTTTGTTTTTGTTTTTGTTGGAAGGTCAACCATCCATCAGGCACAGTTCTAGGCTCTGGACAGATGTTAATCACTCCTCTCAATAGCTCTGGGAGACGAGTCTCAAGGAGAGATGAATCCTTGGTCTTGCATGGCCACAAGGCTCCCATCACCCCATCCTCCCAGGCGGCCTTGTACCTGCCAGTTCCGCTGGACTAGACCACTTCAGGGAAGAACGGCCAGGCCCTCAGATGATATCAGGCACGCGCTGGCTGAGCTCTGGAGGCTCCCCAGGCTTATTTCCTTCAGGGTGTGGGGGGTAGGGCCCCGTAGGACTGAGCATCCCAACGCCCTGAGACTGCCCTATAAGTAGGCCAAGGCATGTGCCGGTGTGGTACAGCCTGTGGGGCGAGTCCAGCCCAGTGAGCCTCCCGGAGGAAGAAGAGATTTCCATGCACTGAGTGAGTAGCTCTCCATCAGCCCTGTCCTGAGCTGACACGGGTGCGTGAGGCCAGGCCACCTTGACAGAGGAGGAAACTGAGGCACAGGCAGGTTTGGCTCCGATTTGCAGGGTCAGGATTTGAAGGCGGGCAGTCGAGCCTTTGCTGTTCTGCCCAGCACAGTCGGTGGGGAGGATGGAATGACCTCATTCAAACCCCCCCATTCTTTTTCAGCTGCTTTTCCCATATAGGTTATTACAGAATACTGAGTAGAGTTCCCTGTGCTATACTGGAGGTCTGGTTGACTATCTATTTTATATATAGTAGTGAGTATATGTTAATCCCAAATATCATTGTACACCTTAAACTTGCATAATGATATAAATCGATTAAATCTCAATAAAGTTGGGGGAGAAGGAAGTAAATGTTATAAAATAGTTAAAGGCGAAAAATGTAGCTACAAACAACCTGAAGAAAATATGGCTGAATATTTAACTGAAAAAAAAAAAAAGGTCTCAGCACACAGCAGGCCCCTATAATAATACAGGCTGGTGGGCGGGGCTGCTTCGGGGTTACCTTTCTCCTTCTCCCACCCTCCCCAGGCTTGGACATAACCCCATGGCCTTGGTGGTCTTCACCTGTGTGTCTCCCCCGCTGTAGAAGGCAGGGACGAGGCCCCCTGGAGGGACCGCACCCCGTGCCCCATTCTCTAAAATGCTTCTCTACCTCAGGATCCTTCCCTCTTTTTTTTTTTTTTCCGCTTGTTTTTTGTTTTTGTTTTGAGGTGATACTATTATTTCCTTTTTCTTTATTGTTTATTTCTTTTTTTTTTTTTATTAAGAAGATTCTCCTTTCTTACCCTGTTCTTTTCACTTCTAGTCAGAGCCAGAGTCTTTGGCCTGGCCTGGTAGTTTCCATGCCCCAGCACTTAACTATCTTGCTGGAGAAAGCTGACCCCCCCATGATGGCCTGTCCCCCACATTTTCAGAGGCCAGCCCGAGGTCTCCCCCTCTGCTCCCCAGTGGACCCCTGGCCTTGACCTCACTGCTGGAACTGCTCCTCTGAAAGGTTGAGGTGTATTCATTAACTCCTCAGATAACCCTGCTAGCTTTTCTGTCACCTCCTCCCCTTTCTTATCTGGGTTCACGGCCCTGTCTTCTATCTGCTGGCCCCTCACTGATCCTAAAAGCTTTAGCTGGAAAAACCCACCGTCCCCTTCCCCCAGAGAGCTCAAGAAAGCCTTTTCGGGGCTGTAGCCGCACGTGAGTGTCTAGCTGGCACAGCCCTGATACTCAGGGGCTGTTGTCATTAAGCCTCTTAAAGGTACTGGTCATCAAGCTACTGGTAGCTGAAGGACCACAGAGGCATCTGAGCTCCCAAGCTGACAGCCAAAGAGAGTTTTCTGTGGTCTCCCGAAGGCCTCACACAGCTCACCACAGCAGAACCCTGGGGTCCCTTGACAAGGTCCCCACCCAAGAAGAATGAACACCCCAAACTGACTGAGTCCATTAAACTCTTTGGCCCCAGTGAGCAAACTCAAATGGGAATCACTTGACCCAAACCCATTCCGAAATGAGAAAAGTCTGGTCAACCAGGAGGCCTCCCAAGTGGGTCTCGTGCTCTGAGCCCTTCCTCCTTCAACATGGGAGCTCCACAGGGGTGCTTTGGCCCTGGGGGACCCTGGGCAATGCCTGGACAAATTTTTATTGTCACACCTGGGGGTGAGGAGGGGGTACTGGGATTTAGTTTTATCCAGGATGCTGCTAAACACCTAACGATGCACAGGACAGCCTCCCCACAGCATAGAATTTTCCAGCCCAGAAATAGTAGTGAGCTTGAGACTCCCGACTCCCTCTGTGCCCAGCCCTTAGAAGCAGCCAAGCTCCCACTTCAGGAGGTAGTTACTGGATGAACAGCCCCCTGAACACAGAACACAGGGTCAGACGCAAAGACACCTGTCTGTCTTGGCTCTGCTTGGCCCGCTGTGTGGCCTCGAGCAAGTTAATGACCCTCTCCGAGCTTCACGTTTCACATCCTGTAAAATGAAGATAACAAAACACTCCACAAGACAAATGTCTGTGAGGGCCGCGAGGTTGAGGGCTCTCATGTGCTCTAATTCAACAGCCTTCTCCAGGCCTAGAACATTATAGAATCAGATGATAATGAACTCCAGGCTCAAGTGGCCTGTAAGGTGAGAGCTGTAGCAGTTTCAAGCAAAAGGAGATGGAGGAAGTGTGTGGAGTGAGGGAGAATCTGGGCCTGAATCGGGCAAGCCCTTCTGTGTTCTGACTGGGTGTCACTGGGCAAGATCCTTCCCACTCTGGACAGCAGCCTCTCTGTCCATGAAAAACCAGGGTTCAGCGGAATCCCTCCTAGGGCTGTTCCAGGTCCAATCATCCCTGAGCCCGATCTGGCCCACTTCCTGGGCGATCATCTACTTCCTGTGCCTCAGTTTCCTCTTTTGCAAAGTAGGGGCTGTGGCACTTATACCTTGGGGTCATTGCAGATGTTAGTGGAACCATCGAGAGCGTGGACCAGACCCAGACTACCTGGGGCTGTGATTCTGGTCCTGCTACCTTACCGCTCTGGAACCTTGGACAAGTGACTTAACCTCTAGGAGCTTGGTCGCCTCATCTGTAAGCCCAGGATAGTCGCCTGACCTGCCTCACAGGACTGTTACCAGAACGCAGTGAGATAAGACAGTAAAGTGCTTAGAATGGAACTTGGTGTATGGTAATCTCCATAAAGCCTTTGCTGTTTTTCTGAGTCTTTCAGTGGTGCTGATGTAGGAAAGTGCTCGGCACATAGATGCTCGATAAGCTGTGTTTGCTTTGACATGGCGTCAATCGGTGGCCGAGGGACTGGTCGTGTGGCCTGACCCGGGTGTGGTACCCTTCTCTCTGTTGCAGGACAATGGCATCCTCCATCACGTGGGGCCTCCTCCTGCTGGCAGGCCTGTGCTGCCTGGTCCCCGTCTCATTGGCTGAGGGTCTCCAGGGACACGCTGTCCAGGAGACAGACGCATCCCAGCAGGATCGTGAGCACCGCCAGGAAGCAGCCTGCCACAAGATCGCCCCCAACCTGGTCGACTTCGCCTTCAGCGTGTACCGCCGAGTGGCCCATGAGTCCAATGCCACCAACATCTTCTTCTCCCCAGTGAGCATCGCTACAGCCTTTGCGATGCTCTCGCTGGGGACCAAGGGTGACACTCACACCGAGATCCTGGAGGGCCTAGATTTCAACCTCACTACAAGAATAGAGGCTGAGATCCACGAAGGTTTCCAGCATCTTCTCCACACCCTCAACCAGCCAGACAACAAGCTGCAGCTGACCACTGGCAATGGCCTGTTCATCAACGAGAGCGCGAAGCTAGTGAGTAAGTTTCTGGAGGATGTCAAGAACCTGTACCACTCTGAAGCCTTCTCCATCAACTTCAGGGATGCTGAAGAGGCCAAGAAAAAGATCAATGATTACGTAAAGAAGGGAAGCCAAGGAAAAATTGTGGATCTGGTAGATGATCTTGACCAAGACACAGTTTTTGCTCTGGTGAATTACATATTCTTTAAAGGTAAGGCTGCACAACCAGCCTGAAACAGAAACACCCCAAAATATTCTCAAACACTCAGTTCTTAACTTTCCTGGCAGTGCAGAATAGGATATAGCCATGCATCTCTGCACGTGTTATTCAATTTTCCACACATGACCGCTAAAACTTCCCGCGATCATATAGGGTTAGGGAACTATGGATTAAACAGTCAAAGTATCATCGTCTCTGCAGGACTTTTCAGAACCTTAAATGTCCTAACGTGCATTGTAGATCCCTATCTGGGAGGGGTGTATGATACGCAATGTCTCCCAAAATAGAGAGCCAGAAAAACAAATTTCGGCAGAGTGTACAGAGGAAATAGGATTTCCTGGAACACGCTTCTGACAACTCGAGTGTAGAGGAAACAGTGACACCTTTGGAGTCAGAAGGACCAAGGTTCAAATCCTTCCTCTACCACTTATGAGCCTCTACAAAATTGAAATTTTGGACCCTACTCCAGTCTTGCATTATCCTCCCAGAATACCTTCTGTACACTGATTGCTCGTTGTAGCCCCATTTTATAGATGGTGAAGCTGAGGCCCCGAGAGAAGTAGCTCACCAGGAGGCTCAGGGCTCCTTTATTCTACCACTGTTATTAAGCCTTCTCCCAGCCCTGGCTGATGTCCGCTGTCCTTTCTCTCCAGGAAAATGGGAGAAGCCCTTTGAGGAAGAGCACACCACAGAGAGGGACTTCCACGTGGACGAGGAGACCACCGTGAAGGTGCCCATGATGAACCGCCTGGGCATGTTTGACCTCCACTACTGCGACAGGCTCACCAGCTGGGTACTGCTGATGGACTACGTGGGGAACGCCACCGCCGTCTTCATCTTGCCCGACCAGGGGAAACTGCAGCATCTGGAGGACCAGCTCAGCAAGGAGCTTCTCGCCAAGGTCCTGGAAAAGAGATACGCAAGGTGACTTCCCAAACCAGAGGCCAGCCCAGGAGCTGCCACAAGAGGTCCAGCCTGAAGGGGGAGGCGGGGGTAGACGCACGTCCCATGGCCGTGACCACTGTGCGTGAACTTGTGCCTCCAGCAGAGGCCAGCATCCGTGCAGGTAGTACCAGCCGGGCTCCATGGGAGGGACGGTGCCCAGGGGTGAGGAGTGAAAGTCCTGTCCCTGAGGACTTCCTCCCCAGCCTGGACACTGCCCCTTCCCAGTGGCCAGTGCCCCATGCAGGGAGAGCAGCGCCAACTCATGTTGTGGGCAAACCCAGAAGGAAGAAGTGAGCTTCCCGGCAAAGGTGGCAGTTAAATGTGGAGTTTCAGAACAGAAAGTCCACGGCAAGACGGGGGAAACCTGCTAGGAGAGGCTGGAAAAGCAAAGGCCCAGAGTGGGAAACTCCAGGACACGTTTGACACTGGTTCAGGATCCTCTGTCACTAGATGAGTGTGGTCGGTCACCGTCATGAGCCCCAAATTAGTGCATGTCTCTGTATTTGTAAATATGCCCATGCCCGGATGGACTGTTTTCTCATGTACAATATAAAACAAAAATACAGAGAAGTACTCATCATTCACTGAACAGATGTCACTCAGGACCTGCCACCACGCCCCACGGTCCTCTGGGATCCTGGTCCCGGAGGAGTCTCAGTCTGAAGGGTGACCAAACCCTGCAGGGAAGCAGTGTGCACAGTCCTTCCAGAGGACACGCTGGATCCTCCAGGAGGCCTTATCAGAGGAGGTGGCATTTGAGAGGCTTTGCAGGACAAGAGGACCCCTGGGGTTCTAGCATTCTCTGACCCCACGTGTAGAGGAACTAAAGTAGAATAAACCAAGGCTGACCTCACATCCTTGCATGGGCAGGGGGACAGGGCGCCAAGTGGGAGGAGCGACCAGGAAAGGAAACACTTTCAATTCTGTGAAACTTTTTTATTTTCTAACCATCGTGACAGTTCTGCCAATTTATACTTGCCCAAACTGTCCATTTCTGGAACCTACGATCTGAAAACTCTCCTGGGTAAACTGGGCATCACCAAGGTCTTCAGCAACGGGGCTGACCTCTCAGGGATCACCGAGGAAGTGCCTCTGAAGCTGTCCAAGGTGAGCGTGTCCTTGACCTCTGTAGGTCAGAATGTGCACGGGGGCTGCAGCTCAAGGGTGAGGCTGAGGAAGGGACAGAGGGACACAGGCACACCTGCAGACTGAGGTCCCTGAGGAATGCCATCGCTCCACCAAGACTGCAATGTGGTCGGATGATGGAGGGGGACAGGTGGCCTCACATGCTTGGTGCATTTTATTTAAGGACCTCCTCTGAGGTTGTGTCACTCACCCTGTCTCATCCTTGGCCGGGGACTTCCCTTCTTTGGGTCCCGATAAACCCCTATTTACAGAGAGAGGCTTAGGCTCAGGGATTGCAAAGGACCTTTGGCCCTGCGCCTGTGACACCAGGAGCTGCCGCTGAATCACTGAGTGTGAGTTACAGAGTGATTTCGACCAAAGAAGCCATTTACGCAGGAGAATTACAGGTGCCCAGAGAAACAACTGCAGTTCAGTGATTGACTGTGAGCTGAGTGCCTGGGTGGGGATGAGGCGTGTGAAGGTCCCCATCGAAGCCCTGGTCCCCAAGGAGTTTAGAATCTGGTCTACAAACAAGTGCGGAGCCAAGGAGACAAAGTACAAGAAAATCCGCCTCCCGAGGTGGTGGGTTCCTTCCCAGGGCCATTGAGGAGGCTGGTCAGGAAGGGGTGAGGGTCCCCTCGTGGGTCAGACACAAGCCTTGAGAGCCATGCTTGTGTGTCTCCTGCAGGGAGGGGAGGACAGGCCAGGCGATGAGAGAGGC